CCAATTATAGGCAATGTTTTAGATGAATAATAGAAGATACCTTTTTATTTGACTGGAGTGAATTGATCAAATAACGTTGTTTTAGCACCAAGTGTATGAGAAATGATGGAAGCCAGAAAGTCATAAAGAAGGCAATTGAAAAGCTTGAACTTTTAGACAGAGCATATTTCTACACACCTTCAAACTGGTGATTACTCAATAATAATTATTGCAACAGATAGTTGTTTTTTGATCATTTGGAAGCAATATCTTGATTCAATTTTTAACAACAGGGGTGTCGAACCATGGTGGAGGTCACAAATTATTTGGTTGAGTGTGACCAATACGTTGGTTGATATGTGGCCTATATATAATATATGATCGATAAAATTGATAATTGTGACCAATAAATGACATGTGACCTGAAAAATGTGAGATTCCCACTAAATTTTCAATCATGATTTGCAAATTGTTAAGTTCTAAGAAATTAATTTGATAATTTGTGATCGAGAAATAATTTGTGATTAATTAATCTGATAATTTGTTAGCATGAAATTAATTGTGGCATATAAATTTTGCAATCTGGGATATTAATTTATAATTTGTGATTGATGAAGAAGTGTGACATAAAATTTTTGATTTGTAATCGAAAAATAATATATGACTTATTAATTTGAAAATTTGTGATCGATAAATAGTTGTGGCCTATAAATTTGTGATTTGGTTGAAATCTCGTATATTAGGTGGAATGCACACAAAACAGTCAAAATTAAGACAACCTGAACACAAACAATCATAATGAAGTCATATTTGGTCAAAATCGGTCACCATTAGCACAAAATTTGGTCACAATCAATCACAGTTAACATATAAATTATCATGAACTTCAAATGTATACATGATTTGTCATAAACATTCACGGTTAACAGATGTCTGATTATACATGTTATCGTTGACAGAGACTTAGTCACATACACTCAGAGTTAAAACAAATCTATTCACAATCAGTTACAATGAAGACGAACTCAGTCACAACAGGTCATATTTAACATAGACTTGGTGACGAAAGGCTTCAATTAACGCTGACTTAATCATAGAAGATTACAATTAACATATAAATGGTCATTAGTTTTACAAGGTAAACATGTTATGTTACAAACAATAACTTCTAATAAATGTCTGGTTACGCATTTCATTGTTAACACGGACTTAGTCACTTACAGACACGAATAAGACAAATTTGATCATAAACAGTCACAATGAATACTGAGTCAATCACAAATAGTCACAGATAACACAAATTTGATCACAAATAATAACATCTTACACAAATATGGTCATAGACCATAATACCTTACACAGTCCAGCTCACAAATAGTCACTATTAAATAGAACCTAGTCATATACTACACAAAACATACAATCAATAAATCACAAGTTATTTCTCCTGCATAATTTATCAAATTAATTAATTAGGACTTATTTCTCAGTCACAAATTAATTCGACTGTTGATTTTCAAACCTTATATAACTCACGAAGTGATTATGAAACATTAATATTTAATGTTGCGAACAACCATGAATCTTCAATTTTGGATAATTTTCTTAGTCAAAAATTATCACAAAACATGAATATTTAATGCACACTTATCAGTTCTTACACGTATAGACTACTTCCTTCAAGCATTTGCTCTTTTGTTGTCGTCTCAATATTCTATTTACAAATTCCACTAATTTAATCTCACAATTTCTCGCTCCAAACTTATTTCTCTTTCCCTTCTAAATTTGCAATTGATCGGTTTTGGTTTCATTTTTGAATTTTGTGAAAACTAGTAACTAACTTGTGTTATTTGTTACTAACCGTAATTAAATTTGTCTTCAGTATGACTTTCTATGATTGTATGCAACCTAGTCACTTACGTGTGCTATCTTTGACTAATTGTGACTAACTTTGTCTTTATTATGACTAAATTTGTCTTCAATGTGAGTGTATGTGATCAGGTCAATTTTAACCATGACGATATGTGATCAAGTCGCAATCGACCACAATTAACACAAAATTGATCATAACCAATTGCAATAAGCACATACTTGGTCATAGAGTATCACCAAAAACAAATATGCACACACCACAAACCAACGCCGTAATCCGCCGCCACCATAACCTCTAATACACCACCACTACCACCTTCAACTCAAATCCACAACCATAAATACTGCCATCACTATCCTGTATTAAATGTGACCAAAGTTAGCTTCATCGTGACTGGCCGTGATTAGATTAGTCTAATTTGTGACTGTATGTAATCAAATTATATATAGTCACAAATCTAATCATAAAAAGTCACAAAAAATCCAGATTACGCCCCAACCTCAAAACCACATCCCACCCTCACAAAAAGTCGCAAACCGGCTTAATGTAATAATTTTATTCCTGTTTGAACTCTCTTTCAATTTATCGGGTACCTTTCTTAAATTGACAGAAGAATTCTTTTCACCCGTTCTTGAAACCATTATTTATCAAATACTTCATAGCTGTAATTGACCTCAGAAGAAATTTAAAAAACAAAAACAAAAACAAAAACACACACACACACAAAAGTTACAAAAGAATTGGGTTTACTCAGGATTTATTTATTAGTTTCCAATTTATCAATTTGCTACATCTATTTCAGGTAAGTCGTGAATTTGTATTCAATTTTTCAGAATTTAATTTCTAGATTATACATTTTGTGATTTTGTTTGCAGATTTACAGTTAATTATATTATCACCTTTTTTTTATTATTGTTGTGATTGTACGAAATAGGTTTAGGGAATTTGGTATTTTCTAATTCATGACATCCCAGACATTGAGAAGAAGGATCCACCATGAAGATGTTGACGGTTGATTCTTTAGACGAGCCATTACTCGAAAATTTAACCAAACTTGAGATCCTGTCATTCAACAACCTTTTCTCATCAGATTTCGGCAACGACAATTTTACCCGCTCGTTTCCTCTGATTTACCAAGCTTTCATCAGTTTAAAGCATCAATCACCAGACTATCTATACTCGCCTGTTTCCACCCAGTTGGCACAGATCCCTTCCTAAATTGCGGTCAACTGACTTCTCCTCTTCTCGCACCGTCGTTATCTTGCATCAATACACACATATTTAACTGCGGTGGTGATCAGAGTTGGCGGCGGCTACAAATCTGGCCTCTCTACCCTCCGACACACTAGAGCTCAACCAATCACACTATTTCTCCTCCACAACGCTGCCAGCAACCACCACGCCATTGCCTCCTGCCACTGTCAAATTTGATTTACAAGTGTGTTTAAGTAGTGAGAGAAAATGTATGAGTAGGGAGAGAAAATAAAATGATATGTAATTTTAATTAATGAGTGGTTATTATTAGTATATTTATTAATAAATGTAAAAAAAATAATTATAACCTGATTTATGAAAGATTAAACTTAAAATCTGACCAATGAAATGTAAGTTTTAAAAACAAGTCTAGGTGTAATTTCTCTTTTTTATATATATATAAAAACCAGTTTAGTTTTTTAAATGTAAATTTATTTATTTTTTTCGCGTATTAGTCCGGTTTAAAATTTTTTAGCCCGATCCTTGATCCAATCTTGGATCCGTCCCTGAATTTAATATGTTAGGCTATAGTTAGGGATGTCAACGAGTCGAGTCGAGCCGAACCCGAGCCTAAAACTTTCGGCTCGGTTAAAATGGTCGAACTTTTTATGAGCCCGAGCGGAGCCGAGCTTTTGCTCAAACAAAAAATTTCAGCTCAGGCTTTTCTGAGTCGAGCCGCGCCGGCTCGATTTCTTTTTTTCTTGCCTACCTTGGCCCTTTTTTTCTCTTAAAAAGGCAGCAAATTCTGCCTTTCTAAAGGCAGATAAAAGCAGTAAAAAGGCAGCAAATGCTGGCTATTTTTTTTTATTTTTTTTTTTTTGGGGCTCGCGGGCCAGCTCGGCTTGGCCGTGTCCCAAAATGGGACTCGCCCGAGCTTCGTCTCGGTTGCTTTGAGCAAGGCTGCAGGCCGCTCGAGCCGTCGAGCCTTTTTGACATTCCTAACTATAGTGGACTCGACAATGAACAAACGGGAAATGGATTAGCTAAGTGGGGGAAGGTAGAAACGCGTTACAGATAATGAAGCTACCAAATGCCAAAATCAATTAAATAAATATAAATGTCGTGTCTTCCACTTAGCAGCATTATTATAAATTGTGTTGTTCGAAAAGTGTGATGAAAAATTCCATCTAACAACAAACACAGCGCATGGTAAATTAAGGGCACCAAAAACAGCATCCCTACCAACCTAATCATTTGCTCCGTAAAATTAATCTAATAAATTATCTTATCGATATACATTTTATTAATGTCTGATTCTCCTCAATTTTTGTATAACTTCACTTGCTCTATAATAATATTATATTAAAAATATTTGAAGAATAAGAATATAAATTTCTGCATTTTGTAAATAAAAGTATGCATTTTTATTTAATAATAAACGCAAAGTTCCAAATGGTGCATTTGGTGCTCGGAATTAAAACACTAAGCTGGACTTGATTGTGCTAATCCACGTTTTAAATCCTTACTAATTAACTAGCTTAGATGAATATTGTCTTAACTTGGGTATAATAGATATATTATTTAATTATGGAACCAAATTTTGTATATAATAAAGATTATTAATTTATAGAGATTACACTGCATATATTTACATTAGGGATATAACTTTTTTGATTAATAAAAGTGGAACCAAATGTGTATTTTCCAAGGAATATAATTTTTGAAAATTGAATGAAATACAAATACCAACTAAAAAAATTGTCAACATTGGTACAAAATAAGCTATTAAGGAGGTGTTTGGGAGTGATTTTTCACTCCAAAAAATTGATTTTTTTACCGTTATTTCATTATTTCAACCGTAATTTTGGATGACTTCTATCACAGGTGGTCCCTATTTTTCTTCTAACGGTCAAAAAATCAATTTTCAAAATCCCTACGGCCTAATAGAAAGTATGTTCTAAATGTTTATGGTAAAAGAGACAACAAAAAGTCAAATTAAATTTTATTTTCGTTCGATTGAGTAAATAAATATTTTCTTATCGTTAACATGCCTTATGGGAACTACAAATTGAAATGATGAACAAATAACATCAACAATACAACTGAAATTATTGATATGATACACATTAGGATTTTCCTTAATTAAGATGATTCCAGTAAAATGGCTTAGCTCTAGTCTCTTCCATAGTATACTTTGAATGTTACACCATCCTCCATCACTGTCTGGTATTATCATTTTAGGGAGAAATTATCTTGCTTTATTAAAAAAAGGAAAACGAGACTAGGTTAGAAAAAAACATTAATATTTAGAAACTATATACCATATATAGGAATGATCCATAGAACACAAGTTATTTTCAGTTAATAAATGCATTAACACGAATAAAACTCGACAAGCTCGTCTAAGGATTCAGGCTGAGGATCAGCATTTTCCAGCATCCAAAGCAAATGCTCGAAAAGCACAACTTCACACCCGACCGTGATCATGTCACCAGAGGCCCCGGACCGCTCCACCAGCTCACGGAAGAGTGGGTTGTCCATGACATCGGTGGTGATGAGGTAGCGCCGCCGTGACTTGCCCACATAGACGGGGTGGAGGTCTTTTCCGGGGGCAGTTTCATCATCATCTAAGAAATTGTTGATAGAGGTCTCATTGGAGCGGCCGAGCTTGAAAGATTGCATTTTCTTTAGCATGGACTTGAGCTTGGTGAGTTTGCCTCCTTTTGCCATTTTATATAGGAGCTGAAGTTTCTCCGAAAGGAAGAGAGATTGATTCTTGATGAAGAAATGGAGAAGAAGACTGGAATTTGTGGGGTTTGGGAAATGAGAAAGAAGGTCCGTTATATATAGGGGTTTTGGGGTGGGTGGGGTGAAGGGAGGAATTAAAAATGTATTTTATAGACAATTAATTTCCTATAGAAGTCTCCGTATTGTGTAATTATAATTATAATCCAATATGAAAAAATTAGGGTGGCTCTCTAATCACATAGTTAATGTGGTATTGGCTTTCAACTTGAAGATAAGGGATTCCAATGTATTTAAATATGTGAATTTTGATTCTTGTCTAACAAAAACCCTGAATGTAAATATTAAAATTAAACGTGAAAGTCATGCTAGTTCTGAAATGAGTCTCCACGTTAATATTTGACTATTTTCCTTTACCTTAAGTCACTCGAAAGTTGCATACAATTTTAACGTCTCAAAAATTCACAAATTTAAGAACCTTAGTTTAAAGGTTGAAAACCAAATCTACACTTCTTGAAAGGTTAAGAAGCCCACCTCCAATTTTCTCAAATATGTTTGGATTTAATTTGGTGTTGAAATATTTTAATCCCACATTATATTAGTAGGTTAAATCAATACTAGAATGTTTGAACACAAGTCATTATATTGTATGTTACCTATGGAAAATAATTTCAATTTTAGTTATTTCTATGTCAAAGATTCAAGATTGATAAATTGCAATGATTGTTATTGCCCATATAGGTGAGAATCGACAATGGATGTTGTCGTTGACAACGGGCCATGATCTATGGCTAGAACCGGTAAATGTCACTTGTGTTAACTCTTGATAGGCATTTATATTAGTAGGTTAAATCAATACTAGAATGTTTGAACACAAGTCATTATATTGTATGTTACCTATGGAAAATAATTTCAATTTTAGTTATTTCTATGTCAAAGATTCAAGATTGATAAATTGCAATGATTGTTATTGCCCATATAGGTGAGAATCGACAATGGATGTTGTCGTTGACAACGGGCCATGATCTATGGCTAGAACCGGTAAATGTCACTTGTGTTAACTCTTGATAGGCAGACAATAAATATAGTTATATCTTGTATATATTATTATAGTTGTTGATGGAGGTCATCGATATGTAGTTGGTGCTATATGTTAGTTTTCAATTATGGAGAACTAGTCATTATGCCAAATCAGCCATAGTTGAACATCTTGACCGTTGATTACGAACTTTGACAATCAATAACCTCTACGATTGTTTATTATATGTATCTTGTTGATACTTTAGCAACCGTTCGTAAAATTTTCAGAACCAAGTCTCTAATGAAGAAATATCTCATACATTTCTTTTAATATTTCAATCAAGTGTCGCTCTCCAATTGTTTATAGATTAAAAATGAGAAAATATTTAATAGTCATTTTTACTTGAAAAGAAGAAATCCTTTTTTTTTTTTTTCCGTCATCATCTCTCTCCTCAACCCATTCCCCCAACCAGTGTGAGTCGTGAGCCGCTAGAAACTCTTCCAAAATAATTACTTATATAAGTTGTAAGAAAGTATATACACATACCAACACTTAAATTTCGGTCGTAGGGACCCATACATCCAATGTCAAGCGCTTTGTTCCAATTCGCATTCAACAAGAAAACGAGTTTGGTTCATTAATTAATTTCAGCTTCAACTTGTTTCGAACAGAACATTGTTATTGAAAGCGATAGACATGTGCAAAGAGAAAGTCTGCCATATTCTGAAGCTTATTTATTAATTATTCTGACTGAATTTTCACTTATTTTAATAAGAGATTAGGAACTTGTTAATTAAAAATAATTTACTTATTAATTAAAGATCAACAGACAGTAACTACCAGAAGTTTTTCTTTTTCTAATTATTTTTGTGCAGTTAAGAAATAACAGTTTAGTAACTACTGAATTTATTTATTAGTTATGAAGATTCAATTTCAAGAAAAGGAGAACGAGTGAAACAAACAAGAGAATATGTTTTTATCATTCTACAAGTAGAACAAGAAACTCTTCAAAATGTGGGGTAGACAACATTAATGGGTAAAATTTCACATTAGTTAAATATAAAATATTAGCCAACGCATATAGGTGTTTGAACTACTCCTCATAATAACGTTAACATTTTGATATGGAACTTCATGTCTAAATATCGTATTAGAGCCCATTAAACTCAAAACAAACATTTGGATACTAAAGTTAGTGTTTGAACGAGTCATCACCTAGTGGGATATGTTAAGGGTAAAATCATATATCAATCAAGTATAAATATATATAAATCAATATAAAAGGTTTTAATCTACTCTTAGCACTTTTAAGATAAAACCTTAAATCTTAATACTCAAAAGTTTTTAGAAAACTATTCATCCAATTCGTCATAAACAAATAAAAAAGAGTACAAGAATATCGATAAACCAATTTCAGTACAGTATGGCATGAGTTGGAATTCTACAAATTTGGACAAACAATAGATATGCAACGCCATGTAATTTTTGAAATGAGAATTGTACGATGGTGTTGATACACAATAACGAAGCTAGAGTGCATTGCACCTAAAAAGTATCCCCGACACAAAAATGCATGTTGAAATTTTACAACATTGGACGAACATTAGGCATCTGTCTCAGTGATCTCACATCTTTCTTTTTCATACTATTCTATAATCTTATTTAGTTAAGTGCACCTCTCTTAACTAAGGGAACCAAAAACAATGTTTTTCAACAACGTGTTTTCCTCGGGTCTTTACTGAATCCAACAAGGCTTGCAAAATGAATAACTTTAAGAATATGCTTGTCTCCCTCTTGCTCTATATGCAATTGTGTGGTCCTATATATTCAAATTACAAAAGGTCAAATTGCAAAACAACAAAAACCCTAGACTCTAGAGCCATAACCTATGGTGGAATGCATTAAATCACTACTGTGAATCATAGGATAGGGAACCAAATGCATTGAGTCCATTCCATTTTATGGTCAAATTGTATATTGAAAGTGACTTAGACATGGGCAGAACCATGTGACAAAACATGGACTTAACAAGAATTGATTCATGTTAGTAGATATATATTAATGAGAAAACGCCCATACAATCCCATGTGGACTGATCAAAGCACCAAATTTTCTTGCCATGTGAAGCCGAAATATAAGTATATAAGTTAGTTGTATGTGTGGCAACATATATATTGGATAACTATGAACGTATTGCGGATTGTTGTTCTTTTTGTCCAATGCTGACATTCTTGTACATATATGAGCAGAATGTATACGTAGTGTGGTGTTTATATTTTATGTGTAACGGAAATGGATTACATATATATCAAGTGTTATAGTAAATGTTTCAGCAACATGGTGGTTTCACCAAAAAAGTGAATGGTCGATTCAATTTGTCCTTATAACCCACGTAAAACATTAGAAACTTGAACATATGTAGCGATATAGCAAAATTTTCTGACCTACAAATTTCTAGTGCCTCGAGTTCCAAGTGAAAGTATAGCCATGTGGAATCTATCAAAAATTATGCTCCATTGCTAACAATAACGTGATATGCTTTAAAAAAAAAAAAAAAAGTGAAAAAGAAAAAGAAGAAGTCAGATATAAAATTAAGGAAAATTTGCCGTGGAGGTCCCAAACCTTTTAAAATACCGTAGATTAGACTCAAACCTATAATTGATAACAGATACATCACAAATCCTTAAAAATATGGGGTCGTAGAACTTTTGGATAGTATCTATCCAAAAATTTAGTTGATCAAAATTCAAGCATTTGACCAAAGGTCAAAAATGATCTTTTAACGTTTAATTAATTAAAACTAGAAAAAATTGTTTCGGAGGTCCCAGAATTTCTACGATGTGCAATCCCAAACCTTTGAAAAATTTACGTCGAACCTTTAACGATTTTCATCCAAATATCTGTGACTTGAGGTTAGGTGGACTGGAAAGATGAATGGTTTGTATTGACAGATAAATTTTTGAATGAAAATCATTAGAAGTCGTTTTGGAGCATATTTATTTAAGGCACGGGATTGCACTCTACATTAACAAAGATTTGGATCCTCTGATACACAATTTCCTTCTTTTTATTAATTAAAAGATAAAAGATAATTTTGTAATTTTTAAAATTGATTAAATTATGGTCAAACGCATTACTTTAATCAGCTAACAAATTTTTGGATGGCAACCATTGAGATATCCTTCTACCACACATTTTTGAAAGGTTTGAGCATATTTACTACGATTCTAAGTTATGGAGCCTAATATGCACTTATTAAAAATTTTGCTATTGCTGCTACAGATTTTCGTAACATTTATTTCATACCTTCTAAAGAGACCAATACGATTCAAACATCACGACATAAGCACAAAAGTCCTCTAATAGTTATTCAAAAGTTTCCAACTACGCTTTTAGATACTAGCTATAATGCTCAAGATGTACACTGAATTCTCCAAAGTTCAATTTTCTCCATGCTTTCTACAAATGAAAGTGTTCGACAAATACGATCAAAGGTGCCATTTCCTCTATAATATACATGAATTATGAATAGAAAGAAAAACCCACACAGCATAATCTTGCCTAGACTGAACTAGTCAGATCATTAATTAATAATGTTTTTGTGGGAAAACGTCAAATTTAGTTGATCAAAATTCAAGCATTTGACGAAAGGTCACAAATGATCTTTTAAAGTTTAAACAATTAAAACTAGAAAAAATTGTATCGGAGGTCCCAAACTTTCTACGTTGTGTAGTGCAATCCCAAACCTTTGAAAAATTTACACTGAACCTTTAACGATTTTCATCCCAATAGTTGTGAGGAAAGATAAATATTTTATTATCGTTAGATAGATTTTTGAATGAAAATCATTAGAAGTCCTTTTGGTGCATATTTATTTAAGGCTTGGGATTGCGCTGCACATTAAGAAAGATTAGGAACCTCTGATACACAATTTCCTTGTTTTTATTAATTAAAAGTTAAAAAAATATTTTTGTTATTTTTAAAATTGGTCAAATAATGATCATACGCATGACTATAATCAGCTAACGAATTTTTGGATGGCAACCATTGAGCGATCCTTCTACCTCACATTTTT